CGCTAGCCCCCGCCGCGGCAGCACTCGTCGCTTCCGATTGGCCTCCGGGATTGTCAGGAGACTGCATGTACTTCGGTATTAGGATCGAGTTCAAGGTAGGCTGAATTCTAAGCTCGTGCTCGGTGAAGTTGAACAATGGTGGTAGTTCACGACCATTTGGCAATCGTGTTCCTTGTTCTCGCAGCTCGTTGAAAAACGAATGTGCGCATGCCTGAAGCGGGGTCATTCTAAGTGACGGAGTATATTCTAAAAGTCGCGCAACCAGTTCCATAGCTTCCGGCGGTGTACGCGCCCTGAAAACCTGTAACCGACAACACAGAAATTATCATCATCATCATCATCATCATCATCATCATCATCATCAACATCATCATCATCAACATCATCATTATTATTAATATAATCATCATCTTTTCCAAATGTTGTCTATCCAACTACCCCCCTACCGTTCATTTCATTCAACCTTTTATCTCCAATTATCGACTTTAACTTGGATTAATATTATTTATCAGTTTAATTGAGCCGGTTGATTTTGAAAGTGGACCAAGTCCATTTTTTGGAAAAAAAAAGAAAAAAAAAAAGAAAAAAAAAATAAAAAGAAGTTGAAGCTAATTCTTATTACAAATTAACATAAAATTTATATTTTTTTTCATTCACAATTAATATTTTCTAACATCAATATAAATTTGTTACCAATAATTTATATCGACAATGATATTTATTGTTAGTTGATATTATTAAACACGTCCATTGACTCATACCAAAATCCAATGATTTTATTCGATCTAATACGAATAATCATTATTGTATATTAAATTTATATGAAATAAAACTATTAAAAATATAAAAATAATTGTCTATTATTGTTTACCAATATTTTTATCAATTTTTTTTTTTTTTAATATCTTTTTCTTTTATTTTATTGTAGCTTCACGAAAAAAGTATGAAATATTAAAATGAAAATAAAAAGTAAATAAATAAAATATTCAATTTTTTTCCTTATCATAATTATATTCCATCTAAAAAAAAAAAAATCAATGTTTTTAATAAATCATTGTTTTTGAAAGTGAGCCAAGTCCATTGGCGCATATCAAAAACTATGATTTTTTTTTTTTTGTTGACCTAACACGGATAACTATTATTGAATATTAAATTTAGATGAAATAAGATTACAAAATATAGAAAAGTAAATCTATTTTACTGCTTATCAATATTTTTAAACCCATTCAAATGCAAACCATTAAATATCTATGCAATAGCATAAAATAGAACTTGCCCCATTTTCAAAATTAATGGCTCTTATAATCGACGACGGTTCTCTCTCTCTCTCTCTCTCTCTCTCTCTCTCTCTTTCTCTCTCCCTCTCTCTATCTATCTCTCTCTTTCTCTCTCTTTTTCATTTTTCTTTCTTTTCATCTTTCAACAACAATATCCTTCGATAAAGAGAAAGATATACGAGTTTACAAAGTAATCCCATTTCATACCAAACACCTATATTTATGATTTATTGTTGTATAATATATAGGATTTAGCGATAAAACTTTTATTGATAATTTAAATCGAAACTCAAACTTGAATATACAATCCTTTTGCTATCATGGGTGACTTATGGTCGTTCCTAAATGAAATCTTTCTTACATATCACGTGTGAAATTAAAGAAAATCAATGAAAAAGAGATCATAGATCAAATAAAAGTATTGTAGATAGATTTGTTGGCTAAGATTTGCGTGAGAGAAAGAAACTTGATTGATTGATTAAATTATAAACGACGATTCGACGATTCGACGATTATTGACGGGAGAGAGAAATCGTGATCTATACATTTTTAACACGATAATTGGATCCTGCAAAATCAAAATGATTATAACTGACCACCAATTGGAAGTCAGCCTTAAGCCAAATCTTAATCACAAATATTTATTTAGATTAGAATTAAAAGTCCTCGTACACACGTAATATATAATCATTATTTTTCTTGGATTATATTATGCGAAAAGAATTTGTATCATTTGAACGATAAAAATACTAATGATAATATTGGACATATATTTATTTTTTCAAATTCGTTTGGCGGGTTACACATTTTCTTATTGTTTTTTTTTGTTTTTTTTTGTTTTTTTAATTAACCTTACGACGATCTTGAAAAAAAAAAAGAAAAAAAAAAGAAAAAAAAATTTATCAATACATTAAGCCATTTCTTCCTTTTTTCTCATAACATAATCCAAAAGAAACATTTAGGTGTTTAGTTTTAAATGGGATACCTCGTGTGGGTGTATGTGTATTACATATGTATGTATACATTATACATACATACATACATATATATATTAATAATTAAAAATATAATATATATGTATATATGTATATATGCATACATGTGTGGATGTAATAGCAGTTTTGTCAGAGTACAGAATGAATTATTAGTACGAGAACGATGTTATTGGCGGTATTAAACGTATTGAGTGTTTACAATAGAAATATACACACACAACACTCTTTATATATATATATGTATATTGATTACATAAGGATAGTTGAAAATCTTTTTTATTAGAGACAATAGGAAAAAAAAAAATAATCTATTAAAGAAAAGTTTCGTGATATTATGTATCAAATATTGTTTGAAATTCGAAATAAAATATCCGACTTCCATTTAAACTACGCAAGTATTAATGATTTGTAATTTTTCTTATGGGACATTTTTTTTTTTTTTTTTTTTTTTATGAATATGTTACTCAATTATGTTTAAAAAAATTATTAAATAAGTATTGATCTAAAATTAATAATTAACAAGATATTAACGTTTATATTTGTATGATCAACAAATTTTAAATGTAAACGCGATCTTAAGAGGCCTTAAAAAGAAAAAAAAAAAAAAATAAATTTAATTACTATCTTACCATGACTGTTAATTGAAAAGAAGAACTTGAAAATTAATTTATAATGACATAACAAAATGACATAATAAATAATTTATTTCATTCGATAAATGTTCAAAGTGTCCACCATTTTCTTCTATGGACAATCGACATCTTGCCGAATCTATACTTATTCATATATTTTATATTTCAGATTTTATTTGTTTATAATGGCGTTTATAATTTTTTGCATGTAATTCTTATAAATTTCAATTTCATCAAATATTATTACTATTAGTATTACTGTTTCTGTCTATATGGCATACTTCACACGTTAATATTTTACCTATACTTGTTTAATAATATTTTTAAAAATAATTCAATAAAGTATAAAAAAAAAAGAAAAGAAAATTATTAACACTTGCGATTTAACCGGAAATAAGGTATTTTATTTGAAACATGAAAATCGTGAAACTTTTATTAATATTTAAATTTTTTTTGTCTTTCTTTCTTTCTTTTTTTTTTTTCTATTGCTTGTAACAAAAAAGATATTCAACTATTCTTTTTAATTTATAATCAATTTGTATATTTGTATATATGTGGGTAATCGATCGTAGAAAATTTTCATTGTTGACATATTTTGATATTCTGTCAAATACATTGAAAACAAATTAATTGTTATTTACTAGATATGGCAAAAAGGAAAAAAGAAACTATGATCTACGGAGCTTTGAGAGGATTTTCAATCTGTAAATGTATATATATATATATATATATAAACACATATATATACATATATATATATAAACACATATATATACATATATATACATATATATATATATATATATATATATAAACACATATATATACATATATATATATAAACACATATATATACATATATATACATATATATATATATATATATATATATAAACACATATATATACATATATATACATATATATATATATATATATATATATAAACACATATATATACATATATGTCTCTATATATATATATATGTATATATATGTATATTACTATTTCAGAGATATTAAGTAACGATCGTTTTTTTTTTTTTAATTTCATCTACTCGGAGACATTCGAGACTAGTAAAATATCACCAAAACGTTAGAGTAAATGATATTTTTTTTACTTTTCTTTATTGTTTTAAATTAAATAGAAAAGATATGGTTAGTAATGTTAATCGCTAATATAAGAAGGTATGAGAGAGAAAAAAAATGATGAAAAACAGTACCATGAAGATTTCACAGTTTCAACATAAAAAAAAAAAAAAGAAAAAGAATGGATTTTTATGAAGAAGAAAAAAATGATTAAGAATAAGAGAAAGAGAAAAAAAAAATTATCGAGACTCGTATTTGAGTTTCCATTCAATGATTCTAACAGCAAGAGTTATATATATATATTATATATATATATAAAATATATATAAAAATATATATATATAAATGTTTAACATACAAATGCTAAAAAAAAAAATCATAGTTATTTTGTTGGTTAGTATATTGATTTAATAAGTGAAGGAATATTTGTGCCAGCAATATCTAATAATGCGTTTGAGGACTGGGGCCCACTTACTCTAATTTTTTGGTGCTCCGTGGAACACTTTGGTCCACTCATTCGTTGAAGCATATACTGTAACCACGAGTACAGGTATTGATGAATGATACAATGAGAAAGGATTAACAAAATTGCCGTTTTGTAAAATATTTCACAAAAATATTACAACGAATAGCTTTTGAATAATCTCTCAAATATTTCTTTATATATATATATATATATATATATATATATATGCATGTCTCGTAAACAAAGGAATTTATATATATATACATATATAATCAATATTATGAGAAATTTGATCGATTAGTCTCGACGTGTCTTCTTAGTGAGTCACAAGTAATAATAATGATAATAATAACAATAACGATAACAATAATAATAACAATAATAATAATAGTAATAATAATAATAATAATAATAATAATAATAATAATAATAATAATAATACAAGGACATACGCGGACGGTATGAAACGTGAGTTGGGTTTGGACGTTTAAATATGTGTTGTATGTGTTTTTTGCGCGTGTTTACACATTACATATAATTTATATTATTAATAAAACGTACCAAATCTGGATCAATATGTTAATAGAAAAATTACCTTTTGCCATGGATGCGATTTTATTTGTGGAAATTTGAATTCGGTATAGTTAGGGTTCATCTCACGTATTTGATCACGCGTTGGTGTACCAAGTACTTTGATAATTTCAACAAGTTGATCTACACCGCTGTCACCGGGGAATATCGGTTGACCAAGCAGAAGCTCTGCCAGAACGCAACCTGCGCTCCACACGTCTGAAAAAATTAATTTTAATATGAATTAATGTAGCTATGATAAAAATTAAAAAATTAGAAAATTAAAAAAAAAAAAAAAAAAAAAAAGAAAAAGAATTAAAAAAGATATATTAGATTGGAAATTATGAAACGGGCGTTTTTGTTTAGTTTTTTTTTTATTTTCATTCAACGCCCGTTTCATAGTTTCCAACCTAATATTAAATAAAATCAAATTTATTCTTTCTTTGAATCGAATGACTATAATCAAGCTTGGTATATACTCATAATGACGACTATAATCAATCGACAAAATTTTGCATTGAATAAAAAAAAACATACGCCTGTGAAAATAAATTTCAATATTATATTAATATAACTATTACAAAGATATGAAATAAAAAAAAAACTATCGAATTAACCTTTTCCCTTGCGGAATGACTATAGTCACGTTCGTTGTATACTTAAAGATCGACTATAGTTATCATATTAAATTCTAGATATTCAATATAATTAATGTTACTTTTATCCTGATGTATATTCATTTATATTAATTCCGTTTCATCATTATTTTGATACAATTTAAATGAGAAATTAAACAAGAACAATTTGTATGATAAAACAACGTTACATTTCTGTAGGCAACTTTGTCGTAAGAAAAAAATTAAATTAAAGAAAATAAATTAAATTATCATATTAAATCAATTAAAAATGAAAAAAAAAAAAAAAAACAAAACAAAATAAAATTAAAACAAAATTTAATAAAATCAAATCAAATTCAATTAAAATGAAACAAAAGAAGAGTAAAACAAAGTAAAATAAAATAAAGTGCAATAAAATTAAAGAAAAAATAAAATAAATGAAGTGCAAATAAAAATAAAAAAAAAAAAAAAAAAAAAAAAAATAAAAGAAAGAAAAAAGAACAAAAGGAGTAAAATTTTGCAAAGACTAACCGATCTTTGTAGTGTAGTCAATAGCACCAAAGATGAGTTCAGGCGCACGATAATAGCGACTGCATATGTAAGACACGTTAGGTTCCCCTTTGACAAGATGCTTGGCTGAACCAAAATCACAAAGCTTGAGAACACCAGTTTCAGGATCCAAAAGTAAATTCTGCGGCTTAATATCCCTGTGACAAATGCCCAGGGAATGGATGTACGCCAGAGAACGGAACAGTTGATACATGTATAGCTGGAAAATGAAATAAATGTAATAAAAATATTCCAACGAATTCGGGAGCCAAGGAAAGCGTGCAACAAAAAAGAGAAATTTCGTGATCAGTATCTATTGAATAATAATAAATGCATGGCTCCTTTACCTTGATAAAACTGATTGGTATCGTCTGCTTGCTTTTGCTATAATGTCGGGCAACTTTGTACACGGTTTCGGGTATATATTCCAGGACTAGATTGAGATAAACCTCGTCCTTCTAAAAAGGAAATATTATTATATTATTACAAATTAAATCATTATATTTGCCTTTTTTTCTTTTTTCTTTTTCTTTTTTTTCTTTTTCTTTTTCTTTTTTTTCTTTTTTTTTTCTTTTTTTTTTTCTTTTTTTTTCCTATGTCGTCACATGGACGAATAGATCGATGAAAACACTTCTATGCAAGAACAAGAGTGAATGGATGAACTGTAGTCTCCTGTTTAAGGAAGGGGGAGGGGGTGGGTGGGAAGGAAAAAAAAACAAAAAAAAAAAAACAAAGAAGAAAATTTAAAAGAAAAAGATAAAAAAAAAATGAAGACGAATGACATGTATATATATATAATATGTTACAAGAAGTATAATACGAGAGTCACTATGGTTTGAATACTGTGCGAATTTTTATTAGTTACGTACACACGTATGTATATATGGTTAACAAATGCACGCAATCTCTCGATGTGATCATTTTCTAATACTAGCGAAGCGGCGTTAGCTACTAGATTCAAAAGTTAAATCATAATTAATGAGTCAACGTGATCTAAGATCGTGTTAACAAAAAAGGAAAATAAAAAATAAAAAAGAGAGAGAAAAAAAAATTAAAATTAAAAAAAAAAAAAGAAAAAAAAAATTAAAAAAATTAAAAAAAAAAACATCTGTACGGTATTCTCTCTCTTTCGTTATCGTTTTTCTTTTATTCATTTCTTAATTGTTCTTTTCTTTTTTTTTTCTTCTTCTTCTTCTTCTTCTTTCTCTATGATAAAAGCAAATATGATAGCCTAAATATCTCGGCGAAAAAGGATAATTTTTAATCTACTGGGTATGCTCCAACTTACGTCCACATGAAAAACTGGATTAGTTGCGTTTAAGATGTTCTACAAAATAACATAACAACGTAGCATGCATTAACACTAAGGACATTTATATTGATATAAATAAAACGCGGCTTATTTCATTATACGAAAAAAAGAAAAAAAAAAAATTTTATTCAAAAATTTGATAGTAATATATATATATATATATATATATATATATATATATATATATATATAATATATATTACCAAATGCATGTTATATTATTTAATATTAATAATTTATGTTTTTATAAGAAACTTTCAAACGCGTTCTTATAATTCAATTATATATATATTACGAATTATGATAATATATTATACATACGAGTATATACGATACTTGAAACCGCACGTGTATAAACGAAATCAATTTAATCAGATTCGTTATTTTGATTAAATTCAATCATCGATTACAGTAAATTCTTTTAAATCGAGATTTGAAAAAAAAAAGAAAGAAGAAAAAGGAAAAAAAAAAAAGAGAGAAATAGAAACAATCATTTTGGCTTTGTCCTACTTAATAATTAAATCGACTCTCTTTAAAAAAAAAACAATATATAAATATACATATATATATATATATATATATATATATATATTTATTTATATACATATATATAAATATATATATATATATACGTATATATTATATGTATATATATACATGTATTAAATAGAATAAAATTAATAGTTACCTTATCACCACAAGAGTAGAAGAAATATTTTAGTTTGACGATGTTGCAGTGCTCGAGGCGCCGCATTATTTGTAATTCTCTGTTCTGAAAATAAAAAGAAAAAGAAGAAACAATAAAAAAAATAATGATAACATTTTAATTACTTAGTGTTATTAAATTGTACTATTTTTAATTTTTAATAATTCTAGAAGAAAAAAGAAATGAAAGAAGAGAAGAAAAATTTCGATTAAACGTTTGACGAAATATTTAATCATTATTTCAAATAAATAATTAAAAAAAAAAAATTAATTACATTAATTATTATCGAGTATTGAATGTTAATACTAATTAGAACTTTTAAAAATTAATTATAAAATATTAAATATCAATATGAAATTTCGATGATGATAATAATAATAATAATAATAATAAAAATAAAAAAAAAAAAAAAAAAAAAAATTATATTGCCAGAAAAGTTTAATTAGAGAGGAAACGTTAATCTACTAATTCAAATATTTTTTCATATTCTCTAAAATTATTATTATTATTATATACATCTTTACTTAATTTTATTTTCTTTTTTTACTTAAATATATATATAGATAATAAATAATTACATACCATTTATCAATGGATAAATGGTGAATAGATAGATAGATTTAAAAAAAAATTACTAAAAAGAAAAATTTATTGATTTTTTGATATTTTATGAAATTTTTAATATATATATATATATATATATATATATATATATATACATAAATATTTAAATTAAATATAATAATATAATAATATAATAAAATATAAATATTTAAACAAAGTAATTATTTTCCTAATAAATAAATAATTTAAGATATGTCATATATTATAATATATATAAATAAATTTTTATAATTATTCTTATTATAACTAATGATCTAATTGGGTAGTTACTTTATAAATTATAATTGATAAATAATTAATATTTATTTAAAATTAAAATTTTAAAATATTTAATTATTTTATAATCTAATTTAATTAATATCAAGTGTCATTTAAAAGTAAGAAAAATTATTTAAAAAAAAAAAGATATTTATTAAATTTAAAAAGAAAAAGAAAAAAGAAATATATTTATAGATAAGAATTTAATAATAACATAAATATAATGTATAAATAATTAGTTAATTAATGTATATATTTAAATTATAAATAGATAGATTTATATATATATATATATATATATATATATATATATATATATAGAACTATATATATTATATAATACATAAGAATTATATATATTAATATATAAAATTATTTTATATATTTTACAAAAACAATTATTTTACTTTTTTCTATATTTTATTTTATTTTTATAATTTTTTTTTTTATATATAAAAAAATTTTTAATTATATATATATATATATATATATATATATATATATATATATATATATACATACATAAATATAATTTCTTTCTTATATATTACATTTCTTTCTTTCTTTCTGTGTGTGTGTGTGTGTGTGTGTATGCGTGTGCACGTGATTTTAAAATTACATGCCATTATAAATGGTTAACGATCAAACCTCTTTCGAATTGATATTCAAGGTATATATTCGCGTGACTAATCGAGACGTCAGAAGTCATCGCGTTGTTCTCTTTTGCGTCAAGAACAAGAGAATAGAATAGAAGAGAAGAGAAAAGACAAGACAAGACAAGACAAGACAAGACGAGACGAGACACCACACATCGTATGCCCTCCTTGTCTTGTAAGCTTTATTTGATAAAAGCTAGAAAGTCTGAGGCAATGCGATGAAGAAATGCAAAATGCATTCTCGTAACATTATCAATCGTTTCGTCGTCGTATCAATTCAAGTCGATCTTATGTGTAAACTAAGTACAACGACGATGACGTCAATTTGATTGCACAAGATCCGGTACATTTTTAAATAGGCTTTATCATTATCAAAAAAGAAAATTAAAAATAAAAGAAAAGAAAAGAAAAACAGAAAAAAATAAATAAATAAATGAAGAAGAAAAAAAATAAAGAAAACAATAAGAAATAAAAAAATAAAGAAAATAGATAGTAAAAACCGCTGGGATGGATATTTTGAAACAAATTTTTATCAAAAAAAAAAAAAAAAAAAAAAATAGAATATATATATATATATATATATATATATATATATATATATATATATATACGTAAAAGAAATCCATCTCCGTTCTTCTATCCATTCGCAAAATTCGAAAGAAAAAGAAAGTGTATGTGTGTGTGTGTGTATGTGTGAGAGAGAGAGAGATTGATCGAAAAAATGAATTAAATAAAATAATTACTAATAGTTAACAATTATACTCGAGATAAGTTAAAAAATTTAAAGATACTATCATTACCCAACTACCATCGTCATTACTATCATCATCATCACCATTGATAAATTATATCAAATTACAATGTATTAAAATTTATCAAGACTCGAATCATTTTATCATATAAGAACAAATCCATTAATAGATTAAATTGATATATATATATATATATATATATATATATATATATATATATATATATGTAATTATTTATCATGAATAAAAATAACTTTTATAACTCACCTTAAATCGTTTGTCTTGGAGGACCTTCTTAATGGCGACCATCTCTCCCGTGTCAAAGAGTTTCGCTTGATATACAACGCCGAAACTGCCATTGCCAATAACCTTGGTATCGGTATATGCAACTTCTCGTGGAAGATCCGGTCCAGAACCAGGTGTAGCCACTACTGTCGTCACCTTGCTGCCATCCTTGCCTGCATTGTACATCGCACCACCCATAGAAACAATCGAAAAATCACAAACGCTACAGTACAATGAAAACGAATAGAAAAACAAGATTTGTGTGGAAAGGAGGAGGAGAAGGAAGAGAAGGAGGAGGAGGAGGAGGAAGAGGAGGAGAAGGGGGATGGTGGTTGATCGAAAAAATTCGCGCAAAAACGTGTGTGTATTGGCGAAAGCAAGATGAAGAAAGGATAGAAAAGGTAAGAAAGGAAAAAGGAAAAAAAAAGAAAGAAAGAAAGAAAGAAAGAAAGAAAAAGTGAAAAAGAAAAAAGGGATAGGGGGAAGAGAATTTAATACTTGTTGAAAAGTTAATATCGTAATGTTACAAAGTCATGCTCTATAGACATCTATCTCTATAATACTTCATCGAGATAATAAAGAACGAGACGGAGATATTGCGCTGTATTATTTTCTTACATGAACGTATATGCGAATCAATTAAATATCTTTTCGAAGAACAAAGCGATCTCTATCATATCGATCATTTCTACTTTCTTTATATATTCTATTTCTTCTACTACTACCTTCTATTCCTTTATTTATTTCTTCTTCTTCTTTTTCTTTTTTATATCTCTATCATTATTTCTATCTGCATATCTTTACACGTAATCGACATCATATACTTTATCATATTATTTATTATTATTTTTTTTTCTTTCTTTAAGAGACTCTCTCTCTCTCTCTCTCTCTCTCTCTCTCTCTCTCTCTCTCTCTCTCTCTCTCTCTCTCTGCGTTATCGATCGAGTAACCGAAGTATAACAAAAATAAGATAAAAACGTAGACGATTAAAAAAAAATATGTTTATAGATATGTTTATGCACGTAAAGAGAATAAGAAATTATATGATTTAACTGTATATAACAGCGTATATATATATATATATATATATATATATATATATCCGAGATTGTCGTTAACTTTAGAATCGAGTGACAATATATAACCATTCGTATAATATAATTTATCGTCTTAATGATTCAGGTAAATATGTTTACTCTTTTGCATGTAGACGTGAAAAATAACAACCTGTGAAAGGTGACATCAGGCAGGGACGACACTGATCGAAGAATATCTCGTTTTAGAGGTTAGAATTACGTTTCCAATGTTTCCTTTCAAGATAAACGCTGGTTGTTCCGATACTCGGTCGGTAAGAAAGATATTTTTCAAGAGAACAATTTATTTCCTTTCGTCAATATTCCTGAATCCTAAGAAATATATATATCCATATATACATACATACATACATACATACATACATACATATATATGTATATATATATATATGTATATATATATATATATTTGTGTTTTAAGAAAACGTATTTTTTACGATGTTTCACAGATCAAGAATCAAAAAAAGTTTACCTTTCTTTCGAGATTCTCTCGATGGGCACCTACAGATCGAACGTAAATAGTATCGTACTTCAGACTTTTTCATCTTCTTGAATCGTGGAGAAATTTCAACGTAACTAACGTAAATTTATATCATATACATATATGCATATGTATATACATGAGTTTTTTTTTCTTTTTTTTTTTTCTTTTTTTTCCCCCTATGAAAATATCAATAATTTATTTGGGAATAATTTAACGTCGTTAACGTGAACGCGTGACTTTCCGATCGATCGATTCGATCGAACGAATTAGAGAAGAACACAACAAATCAGATTTTCTTGAGAAATAATATATTGTGATATGAGATTGTAACGAGATCAAGAGCAAAGTCATTGCGACCAATCGAATTCGTCGATGGTATTCGTAGTAATTAATGTTGATTGGTCGTGATTCGTTCTAATGGTCACAAAACATTTATAGATTGACCAATGAAATAATTATCACTTCTACGAACTAAACTATCCTTCGAATTTCCAAATACATATAAATGATTATTATAATACATTCTATATTTGTATACTGTGAGAATATCTAAACACAATAGAAATAGAAATCAACTCACACATACAATAATGTGACAATGACACACATACATATCTATACACAACACTGCATATATATATATATATATATATATATATATATATGTATATATATATAAGTATTTCAGACTGTTAATATATAGGAAGTTTTATTCAAAGTAAAAAAAAATTATTTAATCCGAGAGATGTGAGGGGATGAGGGATAGAGGGCGGGGGAAGTGGGGAAGGATGGTGTTAGATAATATCACGATTTAATAAAATATCGTTTGCTAGACGATATTTTTTTTTTTAACACACACACACACACTCACACGCGCGCATATATATATATATATATCGGTATAACTCTTATAAGCAATGTGTGTTATAATTATTTATAAAAAGATAATATGAATTTTTTGACCTTTAAATGTAATCTTGAAGAAGAGAGAGTAATGATTATGCAGAAAACATAATAATCTAAAAGTCAACAAATTCATATCGTTGAATTTCTCTTTTAATAATCTACAAACAGTAGAGTGATAAAAAAGAAATATATATATATATATATATATATATTAATGACCTTGAAATCGCGAAAAAGAAAGTGAAAAATAATATCTTGGATCAATCAAAGTATTTGTTAAACTGGATCGAACGATTTCTTCCTCTAACATTTCTTCATATTGCACACACACACACATATATATATATATATATATAATTTATTTATATCTTCATTATAATTTACATTATAATTTAATCTACATTATAATTTACTTATGTCAATTAACAAATATATAATATATATATATATATATATATATATAATATATATAAATTATATGCATGTGTATAATTATACTGTTAAGTTAAATTCACCGTGCGAGAAAAGGCAAAGTATAAAAGAAGGAGAAGGAAAAAAAAAAAGAAAGAAAAAAGAAAAAAGAAAAAAGAATGAAAAAGAAAAGAAAAAAAAAAAAAAAAAGAGAGAACACTCTTCTCATCGCTCTTATCCCCTTTGCCACGTTATATTCGCATCGTAGAATTTTGCCCTTTTCTCGACCCTTACTTTAGCCTTGCCCGTCCCTGTCTCTCGGTAACGTCGTTAGCTTATTGGAAAATTTAACGCCCAACACCATCATCACCATCGCCATACTGTTATGACATGCATCGCTTGTACTTCCCTGACATTTAAAAAAAGAAAAAAGAAAAAGGAAAAAGGAAAAAAAAAGCTCCATACACGCAACGTTTCCTAGCTACGTCATTCGAAAATGATTACGTCAAATCTCACTCGATACTGAATTTAAATTGATCGACAACCCCCGAATGATTATTACTATACCTATATCTATTTTTATTAGATAGATAGAGAAGAGAGAGAGAGAGAGAGAGAGAGAGAGAGAGAGAGAGAGAGGAAATGAAAAAAAAGAAAAAATGGATCATAATCTTTAGAAAACATATTCGCTCATCACAATATTTCAATGAACTTCTATAAAAATTTTTAGAATGACTTCAGAAAGTGCGTAAAAGGAAATGACGAATGTAAAATCGTTGATATAACTAATGAGATTTATTTTTCATTTTTTTTTCTTTTCTCTCTCTCTCTCTCTCTCTCTCTCTCCCCCCCTTCTTTATTATTTTTTTTTCTTTGATTAATGATTGCTAATTTTATTATGTTGGAAACCTATGAAACGGGCGTTTTTGTTTAATTTTTTTTTATTTTCATTCAACGCCCGTTTCATAGTTTCCAACCTAATATTAAATGGAAGCTTAACTTCCATCGAGAAGAGCTTCATAGAAATATTTCGCGGAATTGATATTATTTGTGAAATATTTTTTTTTCTATTTATCCTTTCCCAAATTAATATTATATTCATTTTTTTTCAAACTTCAATATTTCGAAACTTCATTAAAAAAAAAAAAAAAAAAAAAAAAAAAAAATAATAATAATAATAATAATAATAATAAAATGACGGAATGTTAAATAAAATAGGAACAATAATTTCTTTTTTTTTCTTTTTTTTTTTTTTTACGAACATTTAAAATGAAATTTTCATTTTCCATCATCTACGAAGTTTGTTACATGATGTAAC